GAAGTATCTTAACACACGTCTTATGCTGTTTAAACTACAGTTAGCGGTTAATTCCAAAATGGGCTTGGGGTTAGTCGGCGACTACAGCGGTGCAAATATTCGGACTATCGGTACCGAAATAACCAGCATGTGATGAAAGCTTAAATAAAGTATTATAATGAATACCCCACCATCATCCTGATGTTCTATTGTTCATTACTTCCGGAAAAAAATAATAGATATCATACCGTAACGCATTTTATCAAAATATGGAGAAAGGTGTTTTAAAGTAAAAATGATAGTTGTTTATAGCCGTTGAATTTTTATCCAGCACACTTTCATTCCAGCATAAAATATTAATTTAATTCGAGCATTTTTACTCCAATATCTAGTATAACACATCTCAGTACTATGCTACTTTCCATGCTATTATTTCTAATATAACATTACCAGTATTATAGACCTACTTCTTTTCGTGGTGTTATTTCCTTTCAATTACTGGGAGATTGTACTCGTACATAGTAACGGTCTTATATTGGTAATGTAATCATTGTCCCCATTAGAATCTACCCTTGTTTATATTTTTATCGTCATAATATTACGCTTAGTAATTTTTGATGAATGACAATTTTTATATCAAATCCTGTTTTTTTATCAAATCATTGCCACTATATCTGACCAAAGGAGTGTTTAACATACTAAGTATAAGTTAATGTTTTTCTGCATTATTTCCCGAAAATTAATATTAGCAAATTAAAGGTATAATAACTCTTCATTTTGACCAAAAAATGAATTTTCCTGGAGTAAACAACAATTTTCCCATACTTACCAATGGTTAATGAATCCATTTTTACATTCAAAGTTAGTCCCTGTTTTTTTTCTAAAAAGTTTGGTTTTTTGTTAAAATCTCTTAAGAGATTATAACAGAGTATAGCCATCAATGGAGGTCACGTGGTCTGAACACAAGCTCAGATATCAGAATAATAGCTATACCTGCCGTTTGTCTTGTACGACTGAATATATTATATTTCTATGAGTTGTTCACAATGATTTTATTGTGAAATATAGATCTCATACGAAGAGTTATTATCCTTTTAATATTTGCAAAGAAATCTGCTGCTTATTCCCTGTGTTGCACGGACTGGAGGAGAAATGTAGGTCTAATTTACGATCAGGACTTTGATGAAGGTGCAGTTTAAAGCCTTCTGTGTGAACAATTAATTTTGTTAGTTTTTTATGTGAATTTTATTAATACTAGGTTTGAATCTGGTACTTATAATTTATGTACTTTACAGGGCATTATACGTCTCGTTTCATATGCTTCTTTAACATAAGTGACATATCAAAAGCAGGCGGAAATTTTGCCATTTCGCCTTGTGACTTGGGTCTTAATGTAGTGAAATGCTGATTTATTAAAAATAAATGAAGTGCGTGTATATCTCAAATAATTCCATTTCTTTTTCAGACTGCCATTCCTGAAATCCTGCATTCGGGTGGAATGTGCTTGTTCGTTTTCAAAGCGCTTCCTGAAGTCCATACGTTGGACATCATGCCCTTATTCTACGCCACTGGCCTTGTTCCCGCTTTACTGTTGCTAACTCTTCACATCAAAGCCTACAGACAGTCCCAAGAAAAGAAGTTTCGCGACGTTTTGCTTGACACATTGGTGGTGTTAATTCATTTAGGATGCGTAGTGTTTATTTGCGTGCGTTGGGACTGGAATTCCCAAAGCCTTCGCAACTTTGTACCATCCAGTGATCTCACTCTACCGATCTCAATCCTGCTAATTTCATTCGGTTGGTGGGAAAACTTCGTCAATACTGATGCAAATAATTACATTTCAACACCCATCAAGAACTTTAAAACAGAAATGAGAAGACACAGGTCGCTTATTTATTCCTACGTTATGTTTCTTAAGATGATTGCTACGTTGTGTTTTACACTAGGTATATTGTACTGGAACGGATTTTCCGTAGAAGATATTAAGAGATTTTTCACCGCAGATCAATATGTTCATGAAATAGAGAGGATGGCCTTAATAAGCGTTGGTTGTATTCTAGGTTTTGCTGCGTTGCTATCTTACATATCCGTATTCTTAACATGTACAATGGGGATTCCTAGGTTCGGCTTTGTCTGTGTTATGATATCTATGGTTCTGTCCGCTTTAGTTGTATTCATACCTCTGTGCAGTGAAGAGGCATTGGCTTTTATTGAGAGATACACGCCTGACCAGGCACTAGAGGGGGTCCTACGTAGATGGCTGGTGGGCGGCCTATCGCCCAATTGTGATCCCAACAATCCCGATCATCTTTGGGCTCAGATTGGACTGTATATCGGCCTTTTGCTCTCTCATCTTCTTCTGAATAGACATGTGTGGAATTCTCTGGGGAAAACTGCCATACCCTCCCTGAAGTGGATATTCATCCAGCCTTTATACTGCGGTATTCTCCTAGAGCAGTCGTTCATGTTTCGCCGACGACTGCCAAAAGATGTCGATGTTGTTGCAGAAGATGTTGATCCCACCGAGGATGTTGCTCAGATCCCTTTCTGTAATGATACCAAGAAAAAGAAACCAATGGTATACGCTTGTGGTACCATGTGGCATGAATCGGAGACTGAAATGAGACAAATGCTTGCCAGCATTATAAGGTAGGTCAGTTTGCCATATTTTAAGAGCTAACTATATAATTTTTTTTTTTACATTAAAAAAATATATTAAAGTATATCATGCAGCTTTTAATTTCATGCTAATATTTTCCATTATATATATATATATATATATGATTAATAGAAGAGCGAAATATTATCTAAGGTCCTGTTGAATAATTATTCAAACCTTCTATATATAACATATTTACATCTGTAGACTTGATAGCGCTGTCGAAAAGGAGGATTCGATCTTCGACTATGAGACACACATAATGTTCGACGATGCTTTCACGTCCAGTACTAAAACCGAGTACGAACAACCTGTCAGCTCCAAAAAAGCTGCAACCGATCCACGGATTCAAACTCACGAAACTAAAGATGGTGTCAAAAACAACCCCTGGAATCAAAAGATTGTCAACAACTACGTGCATAATTTTTTTAGAATAATACTTGAGGACGTATTAAGGTAAGATTTTTTTAATTAAAGTTACTTGAAAGTAAATTCAAAACATGTCTTTTAAGATAGTGTAAGGTTTTGTCACTGTACTTATTTATCTTAAGCTTGACGCAGTGATGCATTGGACCTAAATACAGCTGGAGTTCAGCTGGAGTCTGATTATTACTGCTACTGTGAACCCACCTTTTGTCAGATGTAAATTCTATTTTAGTCCATTAGTAAATTTTCTTTAAAGTACATAAAGCAAGCAAAAATGATTCGAAATGTTCTAATTTTTTTAGTGTGTTGAAATGCAATCGTCAAGATTGATATCAGCATCTTTTTCTAAAAGATGTATGGGTGCTCTTATTGGTCAGTCTTTAAAATTGTTCCTTGTGTTTATGTATAATTACTATATGACATAATTATGTGTGTAATGGGTTGTAGTGGAATTTTATCCCTGATTAATGTAAACTGGGTGAAAATGACCTCACCGTACACGTTTACACAAAGTTCCAGAAATCTATAAACGCAGCTATAAATGAAAGATAAATGGCCAAATGAAAACATACCACTTATGTCATCGTAATCGGTCAAATTCATCCGTACTGTTCGGCAACAAATTCCTTCTTAGAATAGAAGTTTCTCCTTGGTAATTGAAGCTTATGGACAACTTCTCCACCTCTGACTCATCCATAGAACAATTGAAACACAACCGTTTTTGGTCTTTTTGATGGTACAATTACATAAAGCAATTATTACCTGTCACTTGAATATTGTCGTAGAGGACAATTTTGATGAGAAGCACCTTGCGTTATACGTGTGTGTTAAAATGACCCAGTTTGCAGTTAATATTGGAAATTGGTATTTTTCCTCCTAAAACCGATGAGATTTTTTAGGATGAACTGTGTGCCACGAGTGTCGGTACATTTAAATATAAGAAAAAGAAAAGGGACTACATGCAGTCTTAGCTGTTTCAAGTGTGATAAAATCAATGCGGCAAAATCGGTTTAGGGTAAAAATTACCCATTTTCAACTTGTTCCTCATTGTGATTTCTGCTTGTTTCTGTAATCTTCTCCTAGACCGCTAGGAACTTGAAAGTGTGGGGACTGATAGAGTTAGCCTACCATCTGGGATGTGAATATGTGAACCTTTCGTAATTTAAGTGCCCGGTGCAGGTGTTGCTATTTTATCTGGTTAAAAAGCTGGATAACTTTGAAACCATATAAGAAAAAACCTTACTTGTTATCAAGGTTGAATTGAAGTCGCGTGAAAACACATTTGGTCTTAAATTTGAAGCATAACCCATTCTTCCAGGTCAGATAAAAACTACATGCAATTGATAATTTATGGAATAATTTGTAAGCACGGTAATTGGACTTCCAAGACAACCATAAGGCATTCGCCAAGTTTGTGAGTTATGAAAAAAACTGTAAACACACATAGATAGCCAAAACATATTTATAAAATGATATTACAGATTTTAAATCATCAAAGGCAATAATCTTGTAAAATGTTGCGGACACTTCATTTGTTACGGATGATAACATGTATTGTGGTGTTGACTGTAATCGCATAAAAAGTAGTGATATAACAAACTGTTAAATTTTTAAAAGCTTTAGGCAAGTGTTGTAGCAGACAAAAATGAAACGATTGTTCGTGGATTTGCTTCTGGCTGGGGCAAGTTCGCACACTTGGACTAGTAATTTTAAAACTAAATATACTATGAAAAAATTAACTGTGCAGTGGACGTTGATACTTACACCCCAATTAAGATATAAAATTATTTTCCTTCAAAAAAATCTATGAGTCTGTAGGTTATAGTACTCCTTCCATCTCAATTTTTATAAAAAGAGGGCGAATTTACCCCATTTCCCTACTTAGTCGAGGCTGATGCAACGGGTGTAGATTTATATGTCCCTTCATACTACTTCGAAAATCGACGAAATCAGCACAACCCTTGACCTGTATTTTACCCATGTCATCAGTATGCTACTAATGCACCAATCAAATAACTTGATTCTATTTCTATGCTTTTATTAATTATTTATTAATAATAATGAGAATTGATATGCCTTGGCGGAGATCTGCGCTCTCTGAGTGCATATTTTCTATTTTGTTCATGTTTAACCAGAGTAATGAGAATATTGTTCACACGTCTTTTAATTGAAAGCAATCACTGTTTTATGACAGAAAGGATGTTGATCACGTGATCGTACAAGGGGTCATTCGTCGGGGATTCGAAGAAGCACTGCGATCTTCAAATACAGAACATAGTCAATTAGAAGCAAAAGCACCTGCGACTGAAACAAATGTTGAGTGTAAACAGACTTGCAAAGGTAAGGGATCGGCAAAAAAAAGCAGCATCTCGGGCACACAAGCTTCTTCGCCTGTTAATGCAAACGACAAGACGCACAACCCATCGACTGGCCTTCATGGATCCAGCAACCCGCAACCGCGATCTTCAGATGTAGAACACAATCGAATCCAAACCAAACCAAATACATCTGCTCCTGTAACAAATGGTGGGCATGAAGAAGCTTGCGAAGATATAGACCGTATTTGGGTTATCAGGACGCCGTATGGTGGTAGAATTGAAATAAAGATGGAAAATACTACCTTGTATGTCCATTTAAAGGATAAAGATAAAATTCGACACAGAAAAAGATGGAGCCAGGTAAAATGCTTTTAGATGAGAATTTCGTAGTATTGTCTTTAAAATAAACGCCATAAAAAGAAAGAACAGGATGTTCGACAGACTTTGTATGATGTTAACATGAAAAAGTGCTGAAAATCAAGAAATTGTCTTGAAACGTTTCTAGAATCCATAATAAGTTATGTCGCAACGTTCTTAATAAAGAGAAACAAACGTGTATTGACTAAGTATGAAATGTATTGCGGCTATTTTTTCAGGTCATGTACATGTACTACCTCTTGCTGTATAACACAAAAAAAAGCCAGATAAAAAACAAAGATGATAATATTGACCTGGACAACGTATATTTGCTGGCTCTGGACGGAGATGTTGATTTCCACGCAGATGCTTTGACCAGCTTGGTGAAAGAGATGGCGTCAGACAAGAAACTGGGAGCTGCCTGTGGACGAATTCATCCAATCGGCAGCGGTATAAAGTGTTCATAGTGTTTTTATAATACGAACATTTTCAAGTATTTTTGTTAGTTTGATATTTTTTCTCTTCAAAACAATTCAACCACATCACAAGCAGTTAGATGTTAACGAATTTGTGTTGAGGCTGGGGAACGTCTTGAGTGGATCCTATTCACCTGCACATAATATCAATTAAATAAAATGATTCCCCTTTACTTGTTTGGTTTTATGAACTAACATTTTATTTATCGTAGGACCTATGGTATGGTACCAGAAGTTTGAGTACGCCATTGGCCACTGGTTACAGAAGAGCGCGGAACATGTTCTTGGATGCGTTCTCTGCAGTCCTGGCTGTTTTAGTTTGTTTCGAGGAAAGGCAGTGATGGAAGTGATAGACATCTACTCCAATCGACCCACAAAAGCAATCGACTATCTACAATTTGATCAAGGTATTATATAAAGAGTTATGTTATGTTATGCACTGTTGCTCAAAATATGTCACACTCTCGGAAATGAGAGTTTTTAATAATATTTTAGGTTTGTAAAGCTATATCTTTGTTGATGTTTTGGATTTTGTCTTCCCCACAGTTATCCATGGCCATTTGACATAACCTAGGTCAAATATGAGAGCATGTCAACGGATGACAGTTTCTAAGTTAAGTTAAAGGTTTGAGGGTTATGCGAATAGATGTTGCAAGCTTGGCTATTTAAGGGGTGTTTTTGCCTTGATATAGAGTTGATTGTTGGGGTAGATGAGATCTTATAGATAAAGCCATGCCAGGATAGCTGTTTTCAACAAAATGGCCCCAGGAAATCTGACATTGCCAGGGGGCTGGGCGTTTCAAGTCCAACTGCTGTTAGAATACTCCAGAGGAGACTTTCCACCGGCAATGTAGCTACACGGTACTGACTAATATATAGGTCGACCGCGAGCCACTGATGCCCATTCTGACTGTATCAACATTAACATTAACAATCAACCCCTCACTTAATCTGCCTTTGCCATTGCTACAGAAATTGCACATCGTACCCCTGTATATAAAAGACAGTTTAAAAGATTCTAAAAGTGGTCCCACACGCATGCATTCCTCAGATTTTCCGTTCTGATATCTGGGACTTCTAGTCCTGATGGTTCCCCTGTAAAATAAAAATATGACACCCATGAAAGATTTTAATTTCATTTTCTCATGAAAATTTTCACTGCAAACTTACCAAAAGTGTCTATGTATCCTCCGTTATGTTTACTACAAAATAAAAGTCATACACCTAAATGAAATACGATTTATGAAGTTTTGCGGGAGGAAATTTTGGCTTGGAAGTCAGATTTTCACAATGAAAATTTTCGGATTTTCATGATGAAAATTTGACTGGGGAGTCACCTTTTAGGGGAGCCGGATTTCCATGGTACACCTTGACTCTTTGCCAGCAGATTCTGTGTTGCTCAGACATTAAGTTTGGTTTATAGACTTTCTAGCAGGGTTCTTCTAATTAATGAATGATTAAATATAAAATGAGATGGTTGATTCGATTAAACCTTACGGTTCGGCGAGGCAATGCTCATGGCGCTACAGAACAGTGATTTAGCTGATTTAACAACAGTAGCAGTTTTTGGAATTTCTAAAGCTTTTCAAAGATCTGATATCTTACACTCATACAGCTAGTAACATTTTTTTTTGCAGCATGTCAAATTCTTTCGTCGACATTCATAAAATTTTGACCCAGACAAACTTCGGGTGTTTAACTTAGCAGTAACTTTCCAGCAATCATAAACTTTGATTTTTTTTTTTACAATTGAATTTTCCACGTCCTGGCATAATCTAAACAGATATCGACAAAATTTAAGTCTGCGAAGACTGTGACATCGTCCACATATGCTAGGCTGTTGCACGTTATGTTATAACATATAGGTATGTTAAATCAAATTCGGTCCCTTCGTTCTAAATCGTTTACAAGAAGCTCTAATAAGGTCCTAACCCGTGAATGTCCATCATTACGTGATCAAATGTGGCACCGAAACGTGCCCTTGGCTGACTCTGTTATGGTCTCCAATTCTTGAAGCTTAAAACTTTTAGATGCAACCAAACGAAACCAAACAAAACGGATGTACACTGAAAGTTAGAAACAAATGCATTAGATTTATTTAAATTCGTTTTATACTTGTATAATATTTCCTATATTTTTAAAGAACACAAAGTTTTGCTGCGTACCTACCCTTTGGACTCACATTACTACAATATTAAAGCGTGCTCTGCATCTTCTGTTCAAGACTGTGTTATCTTTGTGGTGTGTAGGGGGGGGGGGGGGCGACTCAATACTTAGTCCCATGAAAACGCGTAAATTTTCCTGTTCAAGGTTATTCAGGCCCGTAGCCAGCAATTTCAAAAGGGGGGTTCCTTTTCTGAAAAAATGGACCTTTTCCCATAAAAACTTCATGTACCTAGATCAAATTTTACCCAGAGTGGACCTTTTTCCAGCAATCCCAGCAAAAGGGGCGGTTCTTTCGAACCCCCCGAAACCCCTGGCTACGGGCCTGTTATTATAGGCTCAAATTTTCCTATGTATCCTTTATACCCTAAGTTTAACACAGGAATATTCGAAAAGTGCACTAGGCCATCACGAACTATAGAGATCAAGATATTAAATCAGAACTAAGCCCCTAAGGCACAGTATAATGAATTGTTACCCTCTACCAGGGCGACAGATTGATTTTTCACATGATATTTACAGATATGTCTTTGGATAAATAAACAGTCATTCGATTCTCTGCCACCCTGTGATGAAATCTGAAGGATGATTACATGTCTGGTAATTTCTTCAAGGAAATGATTCCCTATGTGAGAAGCTGAAATGTTGTAGTTAGAACCCTTCATTATCATTCAAATACCGAAAAATGATTTTTCCTGCATCTAATTATTCAATAATGCATAGATATATCTTTGTGCTGATTTAAAACATGAAAAACCCTTGAAAATATGAAATATCCGCGTTCCTATTTTTTCGTTGCAATGTATAAGCACAGACGTCGCAAGGTTTAATTGTCAATTTAAACCCTTTCTATTTTGAGGTGAGATAGTAATCGGTATAAGGCGTAACTGCATCCGTGAACAAGATTTTATCACGAAAATTGGCACACTGGACAGCAAGTTTTTACGCTGCAATCTCCTGCCACTGTTTTGGTTTAAATGCTTTTGGTCTGGGGTTATGAGCCTCTGAATACAGATTTTGATTGAACAAAGGCATTATTTTGCTTCATCAACGATAAAATCTAAAATAAGACTTCTAAGAAAAATAATACTAACTGGTGTCATTAAATTGGCGTTAAAACGGTGATCGTGGCTGCAGGTAAAAGTGAAATTTGAGAAATCGATTTTTCAGTTTTTACCCCAAAATCGCAATTATGACGTCACCCGTAAAATGACGTATGTGTAAATGTTAAATAATTTATCAGTGAGCACTGACGTTTTATTTATTACCCAAAAGAATGTATGTAAGACAGTACATACGGAGTTTTGTGCTAAGGGTGACAATATCCTTAAGAAACGAACTCATGCGAAAGGACATTAAGGAGTACTTAAAACCATTTTATCTTAATTGTTTACAGTAAACTTGGGGTAATGACAAAAACGATTTTGCCCTGGGAGCTACACAACAATGGCCAAAGTAAGAAAAAGACAAAATGGGGCAAAAAGAAGCTCAAAGGAATTTGGTTTTTCATAAAAATTGAATTTAAAGATCTGTTTACTCAAGTGCAAGGTATCGCAGAATCAGATAACCCGTATGGTTAATAATGAGTCCAACACAGTTATAAAATTGTTTGATTTGATAGAATTATCCCCAAAGGGTGTAGCCTACCTTGTATATGCAGATGGTCGGTTATTTGACATAGTAAAATGTGAGCAAAGTTTTATAATCAGTATCCAAATTGTAGTGTGGTAATTTTTGGGGATGTGGATGCTAGAACAGACCTGAGTTGCCTGACTACGTAAGTGATGATGCCGACGACAATGTTCTTGGTGAACATTTTCAGTATTGTTGCGTTCTCAATCTCAGTAACTGTAATTGTTTTTGGCATGTATGGATTGATGCGACGGCTGCACGTTCTAGGTAGGTAAGAGGCGCAGATTTGGTTTTCTGCTAGGCGCACACTTGGCTCCCACCCAGATTTCTGCAACGCAGAGATTTGGGCTACGTCCAGGGCCCCGTAACTAGAAAACGTCGCGCATTGCGAATAGCGATATCACATAGAGGCTACTTTGTATTATATGGGGCGAGTTATGGAATCGATACGCTTGCGCTCGGTCGCAATGCGCGATGCATTCGAGTTACGGAGCCCAGATTTCTAGGCGGGCTACGTGCGCTTTAGCTTCTGTCGCATATATATATATATATATATATATATATATATATATATATATATATATATACGATGGTGTTTGTACAAGAATATTTTCAGTTGTAAAAAGAAATAAAGAAGACTTAAAACTGATGGTGGCAGCATTCGTTTTCATTCCATATGCCCGGCAAGCAGTTAAATAAAGAAACGCAACAGTATGTAGATTATGAAATGGATAACTACTGCTTGCCATTGGCGTCCCAGGACAAAAATCTAAATGGCTTTGGTATCGAGTAATTGTATTTTCTGATTATATTGTCTGATAAGGGTGTAGGTAGAGTGACGTGCACTGCCAACGCAGGCAGTAGTGTGGTAGATTATGTACTGACTAGTGAAAATGTGATATATCAAAGTAGGAGGACAGGTACAGTAGACCACCATTTGCTACGGGAAACGACTTCCGAAAAATTTACACGTAGTAAAACAATTAAAAGAAAACTAAAATGGAAAAGTGGGAAGAGAAAAGAATACGTTGAGGAGCTTAATTTACTTGAAAGCCTCGAAAAAAAAAATCAAAAATATTAGGACGCATAAATGAAGGGAAAATTGATGATGCGATACAGGGTTTTATTCAGCTGATTGAAAATGCATTACTCTTACATGTAACTGTATCATCGTTACGACTACCAAAAATGAAAACGCGTGGCTTGATAGGGATTGTTATGATGCAAAACGCAGAGTCCATAGATCATTGAAATTATTTCGAAATTCAAAATCACAGGAGCATTTAGCACATTATAAACAAAAACAGAAAGAATATAAGAAAGCTTTTTGGGAGAAACAGGTGGCATTCAAGGTACAGTTATATGATAATTTAAAACAAAAGCACTGAAAGAAAAAACAGTAAGACTTTCTGGAATCTGATAAAAAAACAAAGATTATTCTATGCCTAATATTACAGAAGAACAATGGCATCAAACTTTTAGTAAAATATATAATACATCTAGAGAAACAGAAGATGGAGTATTTAAAGAATTTCATGTATATGTTGTAGACTATATGAAAGAATATGAAAATTCATCAAATCAAGACCAGGAAGATCTTGATATAAATAGG